AATAACCTAACTGAAAAATGAGCAAAAGACTTGGATAATTTTCCAGAGTCAATGCACAGATGACCAACAAACAGATGAGGAGATGCTCAATATCACTAATCACTGGAGAAATACAAAGCAAAAGCACAGTGAGATAGCACCTCACATTTGTTAGGACCACTCTTAAAAAAAACCTATAAAATTCAGGTTGTAAGTATATGGAGAAACTGAAAACTTTGTGGGCTATTGGTGGGAATGTAAAATGGTACAGCCACTGTAGAGAGCAATGTAGAAGCTCCTCAAAAAATTAAAGGAAGAGGGGCTGACCCTGTGTCATAGTGGGTAAAGCTGCCACCTTCAGTGCCAGCATCCCATAAGGGCGCAGGTTTGAGTCCTGGCTGCTCCTCTTCTGATCTAGCTCTCTGCTGTGGCCTGGGAGAGCAGTAGAAGAAGGCCCAAGACCTTGGGCCACTGCTCCCATGAGGGAGACCCAGAGGAGGCTCCTGGCTCCTGGCTCCTGGCTCCTGGCTCTTGGTTCCTGGCTTTGAATTGATGTAGCTCTGGCCATTTGCCGCCATCTGGGGAGTGAACCAGTGGATGGAAGACCTCTCTCTCTCTCTCTGCCTCTGCCTCTTTGTAACTCTGCTTTTCAAATACATAAATACATCTTTTTTAAAAAAATTAAAGGTAGAACAACCATATGATCCAACAATGATATTTCTGGGAATGTAGCCAAAAAATCAAAAGCATTATCTTGAAAAGATAGTCGTGCACTCATGTGCATAGCAGCAAAGAGGTGGAAGCAGCCCACATATCCATCAACAGATGAATTGGAAAACTAAATATGGAATATACACATATAATGGAATACTATTCAGCCTTGAAAAGGGAAGAGAGAGGCAGGCATTTGGCCTAGCGGTCAAGATGCTGGTAGAGACGCCTGCATCTCAAATCCTAGTGCCTGGATTTGAGTCCTGGCTCTGGATCCCAATTCCAGCTTCCCAACAGTACAGATGCTGGGACAGAACCAGTGATGACTCGAGTGCTTGGGTCCCTGCCATCCTAATGGGAGACCAGGATGGGGTTCCTGGCTCTTGGCTTCAGTTTGGCTGAGCCCCAGCTGTTGCAGACATTTGGGAAGTGATCCAGCAGACAGGAACTCTATCTGTCTCGTTCTTTCTACCTAGCTCTGACTGCCTCTTAAACAAACAGAGGAGGAAGACTGTGGCTATGTGCTAAGTGAAGTAAGCAATGCAGCAAAAGGCAGATGTTGTAGGATTCCACTTCAGTGAGCAATCGGAAGTGGTCCAACTTGTAACGGCAGGAAGCAGGATGCTGGGTGCTGGGAGGTGGGAGGAATGGGGAGTTTGTAAATGGGTATAATGCTGCAGGTTTTTTTTTTCTTTTAAGATTTATCTTTATTTATTTGAAAGACAGAGTTACAGAGAGAGGCAGAGACAGAGAGAGAGGTCTTCCATCCACTGGTTCACTCCCCAGATGGCCGCAATGGCCGGAGCTGTGCCGATCCGAAGCCAGGAGCCAGGAGCTTCCTCTGGGTCTCCCATGTGGGTGCAGGGGCCCAAGGACTTAGGCCATCTTCCACTGATCTCTCAGACCACAGCAGAGAGCTGGGTCGGAAGGGAGCAGCCGGGACTAGAACCAGCACCCATGTGGGATGCTGGCACTGCAGGCCGCAGCTTTAACCCATTGTACCACAGCGCCAGCCCCGCAGTTCTCCAAGTTGAAAACTTGGGGGAGCCTGTTGCCCATCACTGTGGATATACTTGATACTACCAAACTTCACACTTAAAAATGGTTGACAGGAACGTGTGTGTGTGTGTGTGTGTGTGTGTGTGTGTGTGTTTGCCGCAATTAAAACAAATGTCTCCAAATCCACACTCCTTCCTGTAAAAGGTGAAGCCAGTTCTTCTGCTTGGATTTAGTCCCTTGCTGCTGATGCACGCTGAAGCCGAGGGAACAGGGATGAATTCCGCGACCAGGTCATCCAGGAGAGAGCTGCTTTTGTCTTCTCTTTTGGCTCCTTCAGCCCCAGCCAGACGTCCACAGCCCTGCAACCTTGCGAGCGACCCTAAGGCAGGAATCACCCAGCCAAGCTGACACAAAGGAGCTAAGAACAATACAGCTTACTGCTGCTTAAATTGCTGCATGTAGGGCGATGGCTCACCCAGGAATGAATTACTGATGCAATAAGCGTGTGTCTCCATCTGAAGCAAGGAAGATTTCTGGGTGTTAGGAGGGCTCCTCTTGCTCTCTGTTGATTCTTGGGTTTGAGATTGTGGCTGTGGTCTGTTCTGAATGCTGGCTCCAGGACAGAATGTGCCGAGTGCCGTATGGGAATTACCTGTAACCCCGGCCTTAAGAAACGTATCTGGGAGCGGACTGTCCTGTCACTGGAGGCTGCAGGATTTCTTTGAGTTCCTTTATGCCCTCTCTTCTCGTGGCATCAAGAAATCTGAATACCCAGGGGGTGTTTTCATTGAAAGTTCAATCACATATGAACCATTGAGTTTCGATACCAGAGGTCACATCCCTATATCATGCTGTATTCAAAGAAAGTTTCCATTCATCTCTGTGAAAAAAAGTGAAAGGGCACAATAGCAATACATGTGGGAAACATCCAAAAGGCCAACAAGAAAGGAAACCTCAATGTCATCTGGAGTGGAAAATGTGGGGCTAGAGCCAGGAGCGTCGCTGGGGGAGGGCGCGCCCCTGGTGCACGCCACACACCGTGCCCTTCCTTCTTCCACAGTGGGGGATGCAGCTGCACACCTGGAGGGGAAGCCATGGCCCCCACCTGGGTGCTCGGGCCGCCTAGGATGCTGTTGTCTCTTAGATGTTGGAAAAGGCTTCCTTTAAGAATATCATCTTTTACTGTTTTTAAACATCCATTCATTTAAAATGAATAGATTAGTTTTACTGCTCCTATTTATGAACTCCACGGGTGGGAAAGAGGAACTTCCTCAAATTATAAATTTATAATGAAGGCATATAAAAGATAGCTTTGCATATCTTTTAAAAAAAGGCAATTGAATTTTAGTTTATTTGCCAAGGTCACATATCAAGAATGAGGCATCCCAGGAATACAAGCCCAGATTTTTCTGTTCCTAAAACACATCCTCACTGGTTACCACACCAGGGGATTAGCACCTGCATCCTAGGGAGGGTGGAGCAGACACTGACAGAGGTTGAGTTAGTGCCAGTTAGTCCAATACTCTAATATAGGACACTACATTGCTTTCATATATATATAAGAAATATATATATGTATATACATATATATGTGTATATATATATATACACATATATATGACAGGGAGAGAGACAGACAGATTAGATCCATCTGCTGGTTCATTCCCCAGAAGGCTGCAACGGCTGGTGCTAGGCCAGGCTGAAGCCAGAAGTCAGGAACTCTGTCTGGGTCTCCCAGGCCGTCCTCCTCTGCTTTCCCAGGTGTGTGAGCAGGCAGGACCTGAACTGGTGCTCCAATAATGGGTACCAACGTCACAAAGGTGCACAACAGGGCGCCTGCTTTCCTGTTGTGCACAGTGTGACTTGTGAAGCGCAAAGTGGCCCCAGCCAGTGGAGCTGGGCTGATCCCAAGCCAGGAGCTTCTTCCAGGTCTCCCACGTTTGTGCAGGGGCCCAAGGACTTGGGCCATCTTCCACTGCTTTCCCAGGCCATAGCAGAGAGCTGGAAAGGAAGAAGGGCAGCTGGGACACGAACCGGCGCCCATGTGGGATGCCCACACTGGAGGCAGAGGCTCAGCCCACTATGCCACAGCGCCAACCCCAAAACAGTGGTCGTTAAAACACGGCTCCCTGGACCGTGATGGAACCTCTAGCTCTAACTTCCAATTTACAAGAAATTCAGAGGCCAGAAAGCAAACATCAATAGGAAAAGACAATCAGGCAGACCTAGAGTGTGACTCAATCTATGAAACAAATGACTTAGTTTCTGGTAAAGATCAGTCACCAACATTACACATGTTGAGAACAACGGCCCCAGATAGAAATTAAAAGGACTTAATAAAAACATCACCCCAGAAAGCGATGCGGGATGTCTTTGAGACAAGCGGACAGATTTGACTATGGACTGAGGGTAGCCATTACATGACCGATAACTGCAGCGTGGGCGCGTGTGCCCATCCTCCGCCTATCGCCTAGGCTGGGGTTCGTCCCGGTGCACCGCGGGACTCCAAGCGAATCTCTGCGAGCAAGCGCGATGCTAACCTTGGTCGACAGAGGGCGCAGGAGGGACACTGCAGGAGGCAGGGCTTCTCTTTCTGGTTTCTGAGGGCCGCTCAGCCGGCCGCCCCGCCCCGCCCCGCAGGTTAGCGGGGCGCAGGTGAGTCCGGTTCCCCCGATGGATGGTACAGCGTGCGCAGGTTTTTGGTGACTTTTCAGACCCAGCCTAGGCCCATGACCCCCCTCGCCGAGATTCTCGAAAGCGACGTTGTGTGCTGCCTCGCCTGCAGAGGCATTCCGACTTCCTCTGCAGGCCTGACTCCAGCGCTGGCTCCCAGAGCCCCAGAGGGTTGCGTCCTGCTTGCCTGGAGAGGGCGGACTGGGCCTAAGCAGCGAAATCCCGCGGCCTTGAGCATCCGCGGGTTACAGCTCTCCTTTCTCCCGAGGGGTCTGAGCCCAGCCTTTGCACGCTAGTCCTTCCCTGAGCACTCCCCCTCGGCCCCAGCGCGCTCAGCCCGGTTTTCCTGCCCTGTCTTCCTGCTGTACTGCAACAGCTGTTCACACGGAACTGCGCTTGGCTGCACCCAGACCGGTACAGTCTGCTGCCGGTGACAGAGCGGGGAGGCGCCCGGCTAGTAGACAGGGCGCGGGGTGCCCTCCGCGCTCTCTGGAGATGAGCAAAGTTAAGCAAGCAGCTTTGCGACGGACGGTGAAGTCGCCTGCTAGCCCTCGTCGTCCAGGTTTTTCTGCGCTGCTGTAACTGACCTCGGGAATGAGAGTTCTAGGCCACGTGTGCTTTCTGTTGGGTCTCGATTGGAGCTGGTGCCCAACTCACCAATCACGAGAACGTCCCTCCTTTTATAGCCTATAAAACCCTAGACAATCTGCCTTCAAAATGGCTGTCTCTTTCAGGGACTCCTCTCCGTGCATTTTTTTTTTTTTTATTTCACTTCTGCTGTAATTTCTCTGCTTGCTTTCCGGAAACTGCTACCGCTGTGCACACTCTTCCTTGCTCGTGCTCCTCGTTCTTCGAGGACACAAGACACAAACCCAGTGGAGAAACAGAAGTGTAATGACTGCAGACCACTGCCACACTGGGATCGTGGTCATCTTGGGGGACGCTCTGGGTTTTAGAATTCCGGAAAAAGGAGTCCGGCTGCCCGCAACTTATTTCAAATAGAGAGCCGCGTAGAGTAAGTGTGTTTATCTAGGTGCGTGCACATGTGGGTGTGTGTACTGGTGTGTGGATAGGGTCAATATGGTGACATGCGGGACGTCAGTGGTCACTGAACCTAGCAGGAAAGCATATGTGTGCTTGTTGTTTTGTATTTTACTTATTTTCATTTTTAAGATTAAAAATTGAGCTTATTTATGGGATATTATGTGATATTTTGTTACATATATACATTGTGTAATGTCCATTCAGGGTAAATATATTTATCCTTTTAACCGTTTTACATTTCATTATAGTAAAAACATCCAAAAATCCTATCTTCTAGTTTTTTTTAAATAGAGTAATATACAGTGCATTAACATGACCTACAGTCACCCTACCGTGTGCCAGAACCCCAGAACTCCTGTCTAGCTGTAGCCTGGTACCCATCAGTCAACGTTTCACCAGCCCTCTCTCCCAACTTCCCTACCCAGCCTCTGATAACCGTTCTGTTTTACACTTCTGTGACTTCGCTTATTTGTTAGACTCCACATTTGGGTGAGACCATGTGATAGTTGTCTTTCTCTGCTTGACTTAGTTCACTTAACATAATGACTTCCAGTTCCATGTGTGTTGTTGCAGATGACAATGTTTCATTCTTCCTTATGGCTGAGTAATACTCCGCTGTGTGTGTATGTGCCACATTTTTCTTATTCATTGCTGGCTAGACACTTAGATTGTTTCCATTTTTTTGGCTGTTGTGAATAGTGCTTAATCAATGTGGGAGTGCAGCTGTCTTTTTGCCAGATGGATCTCATCTTCTTTGGCTGTGTACCTTCTCTCTGTCTGCAAAAAGGAAAAAAAGATGGACAGGTTAGCACTTACTGGTGGGTTCATAATTAAGGGCTAAGAAAGATGTGTTAATAGGTGCAAGGACATCATTGTAAAGGTGGAATGGGCTCATTCTATTGACTAACAACCAAGATGAGTAGCATTTGCTATTTTGTTATCGTCTGAAATTTTGGACAATGAAGTCCCTTAGAAACCCTCAAGTGAAACCGTGTGTTGCTGGGAGCAGAGGCCAAGGTACCGAATTTCCAGAACATGCTGTGTGGCAGTGAAGGGGCAAAGCTCAGGTGGAGAGCCAATGGAAACGGCCCGGACCCCGGCGGGGTAGGTGCCTGGCGCTTAGAAGCAGCCTGTGGTGCCCCTTAGAGGGAGGGCTTCGACCTCGTGACTGTCCCTCCAGCCAGCCACAGGCACGGCCTCTCCTTGGGTCTTGTCATGGCTTGGATCTGTTCTGGCTCCAGAGACTCACACTTGGAGCTTCCATTCTTCGCAGGTACCACTTCCTTACATGCCAAGGGCATCGTCTTCATCTCCCATGGGTTCTGTTACATGCCCTGAACCTTTCTCTACCTTGATAATGACTGAGTATCTTGACTCCTCGCCTCTCCCTCTCTGTAATGCTTTGATGGTGACTTGCTTCCACCAACAAAACCCATATGGAAGATTCATTATTTTGGGGCTACTTTATTTTATTTTATTTTTTTAAAGATTTATTTATTTTTATTTGAAAGGCAGAGTTACAGAGAGGCAAAGGCAGCGAGAGAGAGTGAGATCTAGATCTGCTCACTCACTCCCCAGATGGCCACAGCCGCAGGAGCTGCGCCGATCTGAACCCAGGAACCTGGAGCTTCTTCTGGGTCTCCCTCGTGGGTGCAAGGGTCCAAGGACTTGGGCCATCTTCCACTGCTTTCCTAGGCCATAGCAGAGAACTGGATTGGACTCAAACTGGTGCCCATATGGGATGCTGGCACTGCAGGCGGCGGCTTTACCCGGTATGCTACAGCGCCAGCTTGGGGCTACTTGAAATCTGGTTTTCTGTTCCTTCATCACTCGTGATGAGCTGCAGTTTTGGGTTAGTTCTGTTGTCTGCTTTTGGTTGATATTGCCGCACCAATAATAGTGGTTGGGAAAGGCTTATTAGAAAACATATAGTATGTCTATTTTATCTGGCTCTTCTTTTTCAAACTCGTTTCCTATGCATATACCAACATGGATTTGTAGCATCTTTTTTAAAAACAAAACTGGAATTGTGCTATGCATGTTGTTCTTTTCCCTTTTTGAGTATCTCCTGGGCATATCCCCCCCCCCCCCGCCCCGAAACCTTTTATTTAAGGAATACAAACTTTGTGCATTTCATAGTTAGAACTTTAGGAACATGGTGATTCTTCCCACTGTACCTGCCTTCCCACTCACACTCCCACCCCTCTTCCTCCTCCCTCTCCTATTCCCATTCTTATTTTTTATTAGTTTCTTTTCAATTAACTTTATACACATATGATTAACTCTGTTAAGAGTTCAACAAATGGTTTAAAAAAAATGTTCCTCAATAGTCAAGACAAGGGCCGTTCAGTCATTGCTTCTCAAAGTGTCAATTTCACTTCTACAGATTGCCTTTTAGGTGCTCTGTGAGTTGTCACAGGTCAGGGATATGGAATCAGCCCAAGTGCCCATCAACTGAAGACTGGATAAAGAAATTATGAGATATGCACCCCATGGAATACTACAGAGGTTAAAAAACCCCGAAATCCTAGCCGGCGCCGCGGCTTACTAGGTTAATCCTCCGCCTTGTGGCGCTGGCACACCGGTTTCTAGTCCCGGTCGGGGTGCCAGATCCTGTCCCAGTTGCCCCTCTTCCAGGCCAGCTCTCTGCTGTGGCCCAGGAGTGCAGTGGAGGATGGCCCAAGTCCTTGGGTCTTGCACCCCATGGGAGACCAGGAAAAACACCTGGCTCCTGCCTTTGGATCAGCGTGGTGCGCCGGCTGCGGCGGCCATTGGAGGGTGAACCAACGGCGAAAAGGAAGACCTTTCTCTCTGTCCCTCTCTCTCTCACTGTCCACTCTGCCTGTCAAAAAAAAACAAAAACAAAAACAAAACCCTGAAATCCAGTCATTGGTATTTGTCCTTTTAGGACTGGCTTACTTCACTAAGTATGATGTTTTCCAGTTTCATATGTTTTGTTGCAAAGGCCTGGATTTTTTTTTTTTAAACCTCTGTGTAGTATTCCATGGTATACATATCCCATAATTTTTTTATCCGGTCGTTGGTTGATGGGCATTTGGCTGCTTCCATATCTTAGCTCTTGTGAATTGAACTGCCATAAACACGGGGGTACAATAACTTTCATGTGCTGGTTTCACTTCCCTGGGGTAAATTCCCAGGAGTGGGATGGCTGGGTCATATGGTAGGTCTAGATTCAGATTTCTGAGGTATCCCCATACTGTCTTCCACAGCGGCTGTACCAGTTTATATTCCCGCCAACAGTGGATTAGGGTACCTTTTCCCCACATCCCCACGAGCATTTGTTGTTTGTTGATTTCTGTATGAGAGCCGTTGTGACAGGGGTGAGGTGAAACCTCATTGTTTTGATTTGCATTTCCCTGGGCATATTGCCGGGTCCTTACATGTATAGTACTTTATTCTTTCTTGAACTATTTCAGGAATGGATGTGTGTCCTTTAATTTATTTTCCCAATTTCGCATTTATGGTGCTTCTATCTTTGCTACTTCAAACAATTCTGCAATCAATAATCTTGTGTGTATGTCTTTTTGCACCTGCGTTTTCCAGTAGGATAATTTCTGAATAACAAAGTTTCTAGTTTAAAGGAACTGTGCATTTTAAATTCTCAGATACTACTAAATTACTCTCCCCCCAAAATTACAGTGATTTACACAGATACCACGTTTGAACGAGAATGTGGCTGTTCTCCAAAACACCTTGAGATTCCTAATATTTATTTTTAATTCATTCTCTATGCTACTGCCCAGATAACGCTACCAGGCCCTTTATAATGCTGAGACTTCTAATTTAACCCTGCCTTCTCTGATGTCTGAAACTCAGCTTGCTTTCTCCTCTGCCATCTTCAACGTGATGACTTTTTAACCTTTTGCTTGTTGCCTCATGATCTCAGGATTGCTGCTGCAGCTCCACTCATTACAGCTGCATTAAAGAAAAAAGGGAAGTGTCGCTCCCCCTCTTCGTGGAGGAACGACACAGGACCCTGCGTTGTTCTTTCGTCTGCTCGGCCCTCCCCGGGTTTGCTGCTGGTTCTTCCCGGGTTGGCTGTGGGGAGCAATCCGGACTGGACTAAGTTACTGGAATTAAGACTTATTCTATGCATCTGCTCTCCCACAATATGGCGCTGGGAGAGAAGTAAACAGCTTCCGCACAGCTGCCTCCAGTTCAACCAATTAACTGTAGGACTTGCTCCTGACTGGAGAGCAGCGTACTCGGCGTGTGGGCAGCCGAGTTGGGATTGGCGGAGGAGGACTATAAAGGAGGAGAGAGACGGCATGCACCGGGAACATCTATGGGGAACATCTAAGGGAAACCGTGCAGCCGCCGAGACGAGCCGGCCGGCGGTGTGCCGCTCCCCTGCGGAAGTGGGGAATGTGGCCAGGGGGAACTGCCCTTC